TCTGCACCACTGCACATTTGCAGTATTTGCACAAAGATTAATGTTTTTTTGCACAGAATTTCCTTTCACCCCCACAGAAATGGGCAGTAGAGCTACTGGCTGCCACTAGGGGCCACTGGACCCAGCAGAGCCCAGCTTGCAAGTAGAAGACAGGGTCAGGGGGCAGAGGAGGGAGCTAGGGTGTTCCTGGCAGCGGCAGTTTTCAGCATGCCCTGAAGGAGGCGGCATGCAGGAAACTCCATACAAACCCAGGACCCAGCATCAGGCTGTTTCTCCCTCTGGATCCCTGGGGTGCATGTGCAAGTGTCTGGTGGGGGGGGGGGGGAGGGCGCAGCTGTGCTTGGGTGGGGAGGGTGTGTGACTGTCTGGGCTGGGGGCGGGGGCATGGCTGGGCTCTGGGGAGTAGGGTATGTGTGCGCGAGTGTCTGGCTTTGGGATCACCCTGTGGTGTGGGTGTCTGAGCTGGGGCGTGCCCAGCCTCTAGGCTCTGGGGAGTAGGAGGTGCATGCAAGTGGCTGAGCTGGGGGGCACCCCCCAGCTGGGTGCTAGGAGGAGGGGGCAGAGAAATAGGAACTGGGTTGTCAAAAAGGTTTCCTTAACTCTCTACTTCTGGAGGAATTTTTTGGGGTCTGTATTGTTACAGACATAGTTGCTGATAGGTATTTTTGAAATAAATTACCAAAATAATAGAAACTGATGTGATTACATAGTGTTATTTTGACACAAAGTATGAAGTATTGTAATATATTGTGTGCAGAATTTTTAATTTTTGGTGTAGAACTTTTAACTTTTTGGCACAGAATTCCCCAAGGAGTAATTAAAATAAAAAATAATCTGTGACAGAAGGCATTATGGCACACCATATCTAAAACTACAAGTGAGACCTGGCAGCATAGTAATGAGACTTTGTTTTTTCTAGGGATGTCGATTAATCACAGTTAACTCACATGATTAACTCAAAAAAATTAGTTGGGATTAATTGCACTGTTAAATAGAATACCAACTGAAATTTATTAAATATTTTGGATGTTTTTCTACATTTTCAAATATATGTATTTCAATTACAATAGAATTGAAAGTGTACAGTGCTCACTATTTTTTTATTACAAATATGTGCACTGTAAAAATGATAAAAGAAATAGTATTTTTCAATTCACCTCATACAAGTTCTGTAGTGCAATCTCTTTATCATGAAAGAAAGTGCAACTTACAAATGTAGGGGTTTTTGTTATATAACTGCACTCAAAAACAAAACAATGTAAGACTTTAGAGCCTACAAGTCCACTCAGTCCTACCTTTTGTTTAGCCAATCACTAAGAGAAATAAGTTTGTTTACATTTACAGGAGATAATGCTGCCCACTTCTTAATTACAGTGTCACCTGAAAGTGAGAACAGGCATTCGCATGGCACTGTTGTAGCTGGCGTTGCAAGACATTTATGTGCCAGATGCACTAAAGATTCATATGCCTCTTCATGCTTCGGTCATTGGTCCAGAGGACATGCTTCCACGCTGATATCGCTTGTTAAAAATAATAAAAAAAATGAATTAAATTTGTGACTCAACTCCTTGGGGGAGAATTTTGTGTCTCCTGCTCTGTTTTACCTGTATTTTGCCATATATTTCATGTTATAGCAGTCTCGGCTGATGACCCAGCACATATTGTTCGTTTTAAGAACACTAACTGAAAATTTGACAAAATGCAAAGAAGATACCAATGTGAAATTTCTAAAGATAGCTACAGCACTCAACCCAAGATTTAAGAATCTGAAGTGCCTTCCAAAATTTGAGACTGACAAGATGTGGAGCATGCTTTCAGAAATCTTAAAAGAGCAACATTCTGATGCGGAAACTATAGAAACCAAACAAGAAAATCAACCTTCTGCTGGTGGCATCTGACTCATGATAAAAATGAACATGCCTTGGTCTACACTGCTTTGGATGGTTATCAAGTAGAACCCATCATCAGCATGGACACACGTCCCCTGGAATGGTGGTGGAAGCATTAAGGAACATGTGAATCTTTAGTGCATCTTGCGACCCTAGCTACAACAGTGCCATGCAAACGCCTGTTCTCACTTTCAGGTGAAATTGTAAACAAGAAGCAGACAGCATTATCTTCTGCAAATGTAACGAACTTGTTTGTCTGAGTGACTGGATGAACAAGAAGTAGGACTGATTGGACTTGTACACTCTTAAGTTTTACATTTTTATTTTGTTTTTTTTGTACGTAATTCTACATTTGCAAGTTCAACTTTCATGATAAAGAGATTGCACTACAGTACTTGTATTAGGTGAATTGAAAGATACTATTTTTTTTTTACAGTGCACATATTTGTAATCAAAAATAGAGTACTGTACACTGTTCTGTTGTAATTGAAATCAATATATTTGAAAAATGTTGAAAACATCTACAAATATTTAAATTGTATTCTTTTTTTTTTTAATTGTGTGATTTTTTTAATTGCACGAGCCCTAGTTTTCTTGATGTTTACACTGACTTCAGACAAATACAGTGGGATAAATTAATCCCTGGTATAACTCCACTTATTTCAATAAAGTGATATCATGGATAAATTTAGCCCAGTATTTTGTGTTGAAAAGAAAATTTAGAGAGACAAGCATTAAACTGTTTGCATCAATGAAATCTCATACAGGTTTGTATGAGTTTATAATTTTTCACATAACAGTAGCTTTATATTTACTTTTGTGAAAATGTCTAAGATAATCATATAGAAATTAAGCTATTAGAAATCCTGTTTAGGTAAATAACATTTTTAATTTATTTGGAAAGTCAGCTTCTACTGAAACAATAATTTGAAAGCCTAACAAAGAAAGGCAGGTTTGTACTAAAAATCATATTATGAAAATTCACTGCTGAGTCATATAAGATAAAATTTGCTGTGGAGAAAGATTTATCTGCCTAACTTCTGTTAATGCTAATAGTTAAATGTGTAAATCCATACATGCTGATAACTGAAGATATATGCAAGAGTAAAGCACACTGATTAAAATCAGTGATTTAGGTCAATCCCCCCTGCTGCCTATCCATTTAATTGTGAAATTGAAGAGGATTTCATATCTATATGGTGGTCATATCTTAAAATGGAAAAAGTGTTAGAAATAGCTAATGACATTACTAACTGGAGTTTAACAGTGGGCCTATTGGTACTATTGTGGGTCTTCTATTAAACAATATTTTAAATGTAGAGAACTAATATTCCACTTATTTACAGCTAGATGGTCTGTTGCAAATTCACAGGAAGAAAATACATCATCCAAAGACGACATCTTGACAACAACATTTGGGAAATATGGCTGATGGAAACATTTTAAAAGTCAACATTTGGAAGACTGAATCCATCAAATTGTCCTTAATTAAAGCAGGCTGCCTTTTCTATTTGTAAAATAATACAAACTTGAAATAGCTAACACCTCAATACACTATTTATAAAATCCCAGCCATGCTATCATCAGGAAGTGTGTCTAAAATAAGGAAGGGGTAAAAGTACTTTTTAAACAGATTGCAGATCGCTACTGTTCTCTAAAATAAAGAAAAAAATAATGTAAGTGAGAAAAGCACTGATTAAATTTAGCTTTAAAAGCTTGCATAGTAAACTGTTCACAAATGCAGCAGTCACTAATTCTTGCAACTCAGTGAGGAACTTCAAAATCAAGTTCTGTTCTGTCTGCCTCACAAATAACCACTCCTATAAAGGTACAAAATTAAGATTTATAAATCAGTTAGAATTAACTAAATTCTGTTCCATCTCATTCTTCCCATAAATTGGTTAGCACTACAACAGTAGTTAATGTAAATAGATGTGACTGTCTACTGGGAAGCTTAAGTGCAGGTATGGAAAATCCCTAAAGTAGTTTCATATTACCATATATCTCTGCCTTGTATGTCTAATTCAAAACCGTCCAGTTTACAGACAGAAGTTATGGTACTTCCTAGCCAAATCCCGAAGTAGTTAACTTGGCTCAGAGCACACTAGTGAACCAAAAAGCGATTTTCAATATTCCTAGCAACTGCATTATTAAAATTTATGTCTGTACATAGAGGAACTTAAAAAAACCCTGCATCTGAACCTACTCTAGCTGTAATATTTAAAAAAAAAAAAACCCTCTATGAATGTTACTCTTGCAGTACTGCAAGCAGAAGTGAGGATATATTTTGTGCCTTAAAGAAGATGATTTCAGGCAGTCATTAGTGGAGAGGGAAAGATCAAGGTGGCCACTGGGTAGTTTCACAGAAAAAGGAGATTATTCCATTTCCCTGGACAGAATCGTAGATAAAAATCTCTATAAAATGAAGAGGAAGTAACCAGCAGAAAAGGAGACCTTAACACCATTTACTGGAGAGGATTTTTTGAGTGACTGCCACAGTTGTGACGGACCCAGATTATTTTGCATTAATTCATTCATTATCAACAATTTGCAAGTGGCACACAAGAATGATTCACCCAGAAATCCAGTGCAGGTGCAAGACCCACCTTTATTTGCCCATGGTAGTACTGAATCCCATGCTCACTTTATTCAGCAAGAGAGATAAGTAACTCATGCAGGAACCTGTCCAACACAGGTCCTCAGCTACCTTTAGCTCTAATATAAACCCTCTTCCTCATTCTTACATCTGCTATTTTTAAACAGTATTTCTGGGGGGTGGGAAATTAAATCAAACTAGTAATACTGACTATGTAGGTTAAGCACTACCAAAAACAATTGTCTTCTACTCAAGTTTTAAAAAAGTCTGTAGTTTCTAGAATGCTGCAATGTTAGGACAGTATTTTGGGATAAGGCTTCCTCTCATAGTTCGATCCTGCTTCTTCACATTACAGCAGTTCTTCCTGTTCTCTCAGAAGAAAAATGGTTGCCATGTCAAAACACTCATTAATTTTATCTGTCCAGCTAAGATACTTAAAACAGTTTAAAAAAAATCTGGAAAAGGAGTACATTCGGACATTAATGATTAAACATTGGGTCACAGTAAGTTGTGTATTTACAGTAAAAAAAACAAACTTTATTAAGTTTATAATCTTACATCAGCGGTTTCCAAAACTGCTTCACAAAGGGATACCAAAATCACCCTTACAAATAAGGCATTGCACTGCCACAGTAAAAACACGTTCACAGTAATTTAACTTCTATACCTTGGTTAAAATGAGAGCTTTTCATTCTACTTTTTCAGGCATTTAAACAAGTATTTATACACGAGATGCTGAAATTACTTATGAAACACTGTAAGATTTTGTTAAGTGTAAACCAATTAGTTTTCACATACGAAATCTAATATGACAATTTAAAAAACAGAGGAATCTTTCATATGGCTTGAAATGCTGTCAATAAATACAATTAAAATTCTCTAGTCCAACACTGAAATATGTACATTTGGCAGAGAGATGGCTCTATAAGTCTATTTGGTACAGATTCCAGTAAGGTAGTAGAGATTATTCCATAAATAAAGAATCCTCTTCAAACAGGGAAATCTTCTTTCCAGTTTTCCAACATGCCACTACAACAGTTTTTTCTTAAGTGGCAGTAATATCAGTAGTCATGTCTTCATTGGATGCTGAAGGGGGGGAAAAAATAAAAATTGATGTTTTTACCTATATTTCTGGCAAATAAGTTATCCAAAGTGTTCTTTACCTTTAATATATTTATTAAATTAATTTGAGTTTATTTTAGAACAGATTTACTTTGATTACCAATATAGACAGTTTCTTAAAGCTTGAACCTTTTTAGACTTCTAGTAATATAAAGTTAATGAAATGTCTTCGACTTCAGTGCAAAACATTCTCTGCTGACAGACTAATCTTTCCAGCATCTCTGCCCCAAACATTCAGTCTAGTAGGTCAAGTTGAGGAATTTCTCCCAGGTTTGTCCCAGCAGCAAGCAATCTTCATTTATGGGACAAAAATACCAAGTACTTCTAGAAAACAATTTTCATAAGCATTATGAAATGGAGACTCAGTTTAATTCAGATGCAAACACCACTACCCCTACCCAAGGGGGAAAAAAAACAACACACACATGCTATGTATAAGGTGAAGCTTACTACCTCGAATCTTATGTAATTCAGTTTGTGTTCTGTGTTGTACTCACCGATGCAATTAGACAAAAAGTTATTTGAAGCAGAGACCTGCTATTTACTTGGCAGAGCTCATTTATTACACAGTGCCACATATACCTTACTTTATAAATGTAACTAATAAACTTGGCTCTATACAGGTAACTAAAAAAAATAGAAGCCACAAATGAATCCCATTTCAAAGAATAGGACTTGGTGAATATGAAATCTAGTTAAAATTCAGAGAATTTTTCTTCCTTATCATTTGAAGTAACATTTGATTGAACTCATGTTCATTAAAATAAGCTAAGTTTGCAGATACCACCTACTTGTTTTACTTATATGGGTAGTTCTAATCCATTTAACACAAAACTTCCTTTAGCCCCTTCGAAAATCCTAACCTGAATCCTTTGAGTCAGGGACTGTGCTATTTGAGACCTCTGGGTGCTATAATAAAAACAATCTTAAGATAAACAACATTAGCCATACTTTATAGATTTTCTTTCAAAGCATTCCTTTTCTGTAGTGCAAGTATAAATCTAATAGTTTGTGGATCTTAGTTATTTATTAGTTAACAATTAGTTATTTGTTATTAGTAATACTAGTATTAGTAACTAATATTAATTACTAACTAGTTTCTAATTAGTAACTAATAGAAGTATTAGTAACAATTTAGTTATTTGTGAATCTTGGTTATTTCTCCTTCAGCTCCATTGCCATAAGTCAAGATATTAAACTTCAGAAGTTTAGTGACAGCCACACCCAGAAGCAAACAAAAGCAAGTCTTTTGGTAATGAAAGCCTCTCTTAATTGCAGTTATAGTTAATGATAAACTAAATGCCACCAAGTCACCTGCTGGAGCAATGCTGTGCTGTGCTGTACCCTTACCTCCTCATATAGGTTTCACATACAGGAAAGTGGAGCTGGCATGCTGCTTTAAGTTATCTCCCCACCTATAAGGTTTCCTCTCAGAATTCGGAAGGGCCAGTACAGAGAAAAATTAGTCTTATTTCCTTTCATCTATGCAGCATTTTTAGCAAACAAGAACTTTTTTGGGGGGGTGGGGGGAGAGGGAAGGTGGGTAGCCCTTTCAATTAGTTCAGCTTTTTATCTGCTGCTTGTTAAAAAGTTAATTTTGCACAAACAGGACTGATACTGTAAAGTGTTTAGTGGTCAGCAAGTTTGCTTATATCAGGGGTCAGCAACCTTTCAGAAGTAGTGTGCTGGGTCTTCATTTATTCACTCTAATTTAAGGTTTCACGTGCCAGTAATACATTTTAATGTTTTTAGAAGCTCTTTTTCTATAAGTTTATAATAGAAAACTAAACTATTGTTGTATGTAAAGTAAATAAGGTTTCAAAATGTTTAAGAAGCTTCATTTAAACTTAAATTAAAATGCAGAGCCCCCCAGACCGGTGGCCAGGACCCGGGCAGTGTGAGTGCCACTGAAAATCAGCTCGCATGCCACCGAAAATCAGCTCGCATGCCACCTTCGGCACCCATGCCATAGGTTGCCTACCCCTGGCTTATATCATAGTATAGCAGCCTTTCATATGACAACTGATAGGTTTTTATAGTTAGATCATTACTTATTAAGCATACTTTTCTCCTTAAATATACATATTGGGTTAATCGTCACATTGGGCAAAGTTTTCAATAGGACTTGCAATCAAGTGACCTTTGAAAGTGGGTTTTAGGCTAAGTCACTTAAGTGACTATGAAAATTTTACCCAGTATGTAATGGCAAGTCCACTTTAGGAGGTTATAGAGATCAGGGAAAGGAACTATTTCACTGTATGTAGAATTTTAAGCTGTTGGCTGCAATTCTACTTCTAAGGATACAAGAAAGCAAGAGTGGTACATGCAATGTCCTTCTTGATTTCATTGTATTATTCTCTCTTGGATAGGTATACCAAGTAGAAGTGATAGTCTTCTTCAATGAAACCGACAGGACTAAAGGTCTGTTTGTTCAGCTGTTTCGAGGCACTGGCCTCTTTCTAGGTGATATTCCAAGTTTGAACAGCCTGGTGAGATGCATAATAGTACGTTCTTAGATTGTAAACTCTTTGGGGCAAAGATAACCTTTGTTACGTGTACAGTGTATAAAGATTCATAACTTTAAGATGGAAGACACCATCAGTTCATTAAACCACCCAATTGCAAACTCACTATCACTTTTACCAGTGCTTTGTCCAGCCTTGTCTTTAAATACATCAAGCAACAGTTACCAAAAATGCTAATAAAATTTTCTAACATTTAAAAAAAAAAAAAAAAAAGGAACAGTTCCCAAGGAATTACGTCCCCACAGTCTATAACCCAGCTTTAGGACTTTTCCTGGTACTCGGACCAATTTTTTCTTTTCTCAATACTATCATATTACTAAAGCTCAGCAATATTTCAAACTAAATATAGTGTTCAATCATATAAAAAACCCAGGAAGGGGGAAAAAAAATCTCCTTAGGTTCTAATCCAAAACAAGTTTTCGCTCTGCCTCGCTAATCAGTTCTCCTTATTCTAAACTACACCCCTCTGTAGCACCCTCATTGCGGTCCCCTACCAGTACCATGGAAACAACATTGAAAGGTCTCGTTTGTCCGAGGAAAAGCAGCCTCGTCCCGCCTCAAGTTTGTATTTCCCAGACACTAAATGTCAAAGCCCCCCCGACCCCGCCACAATCGCGGCACAACTCGCCCTGATCCACTACCCACCCGCTAGAGCCACACAGGCTCATCGCAGCGCCCGCCAGCTAGGCTGGAGCCCCTCTCCCCGCTCGGAGGAGAAGAGGGGCGTCCCTCGGGCGGGGGCACTGGCACCCGCTCCCACCCTCCTCCGGCCCGGGGGCGCTGTCCCCTTCACCCCGTGTCATTGCCGTCGCCGCTTCTCCGTTTCTTTGACTTTGAAGCCGTGTTTGGTCCCACCTGGCGGCGCGGGGCTCAGACGGGCTGGGTGCGGGCAGGGCTGTCAGCGGGCTGGAGCTCCATGGTGGTGGCGGCGGGAGCCGGGGGACTGGAGCGAGGAGCGGGGGAGAAGACGGTGGAGATGCGGGTGCTCAGCCCCCTCACCAGCCCCCGCAGCAGGCTGTCCCCGCGGCCCTTGGGCGGGCCCAGCCCCACGTCGTCGCGCAGCTCGGCGGGCGGCACCTCCAGGTTGCCCGCGTACCAGAACACCCACCAGATGAGGCTGAGGAAGATGCCGATGCCGCCCGCGTAAATGAGCAGGTCCGAGAAGAAAAGGTTGGCGAAGACCCCCGTCAGCAGCACGACCAGGCCCAGCGCGTCGAAAGCCAGCGCCAGCCAGAAGGCGGCCACGCAGCGGCCCAGCCCGCCAGGAGCCACCATGGCGAGGGGACTGGGAGCAGCCCGGGCCGGCTGAGCCTCAGGGCGGGCGCGGCCACGCACACAGCTGAGTGAGGACACGCCCCTCTACACCTGAGGAGAAAAATCTCCCCGCCCCTAGGTAAAGAGACACGCCCCTTTCTACTTCTCCCCGCGCCTGAGAAGAGGACACGCCCCTTTCACTTCACTAGTCGGTCACGACCCTGACCCCCCACCCCCACCGGGAAGCTGCGGAGCTCCTTTGCGCTGCAGCTGGTCCCAGTGGAAGGGGGCTGTACAGAGTGGGTGCACTCAGGGATTTCCTTACACCCTCTCTGAATTTCCTTAACACCCCCCCCAAGTTTTGTGAACTAGTTACATGCAGTGTTGCCAATTTAGTGATTAAAAATTGAAACATTAATACACACTTTAAAAGCATATAAAGTGGATGATAAAATATATGTATCTGAAAAAGTATAATAGATTTGAAAAGTATAAACATAGATTAGCTTCTCTATACAGCTGTTGTTTTTTATGACAAAGTCAGTGCATTCATTTTGGTGATGTTGGCCAACCTACTCATTTCAAATTATGATTTGTAAGCAAAGTCTAAATGAGCTCTCCCTAACAGCTAGTGATGAGCTGGGGCTGGGGGAAAAGGCTTCAGGACCAGATTGTATTTACATTCACACCTAATCTACCTAGGTATCCAGCAAACAGAGCTGTGTTGCCCAAGTGATAGATTTAGGCTGGGGTTGGGTTTCAAATTACTTGAATGGGGGGGGTAATGAAATGTTGTTATTCTTATTGAATGAGTCAAGGGCAGTAGAACTGTATTTAGCCTGTGCTGATTGAGGGCATCAAGAGTGAGGGTGGGGACAGGTGTTTTGCTTGATGGTCTGCCTGAGTCTATTGACCTGCCCCTCTCCACTGTTTAAAGACAGAGCTGATTAGGCTCCATAGATAGTCTTGTTTTGTTAAGTGACCACTAGCTGACATCACTGATAAGGTCTAAGTCAGGCCTGTACAACATGCGGCCCGTGGGGGGGTGAGTAGGTGGGCTCACTATGTGGCCCGCAGGGGAAGGAGGGTTTGTTTCTGTGGGGCGGGCGGCGCTGGGGGGAGTGTTTCTGTGGGGCAGGGGGTGTTGTGTTCGGGGGGCTGCGCGGTGCTGGGGGGGGTTCAGCGGGGCCGGGGGGTTTTGGCTCTCAGCTGTTTTCTTTGGAGTAACATGGCCCTCGCCGCTTTATGAGTTGTGCAGGCCTGGTCTAAGTGCTTAGACCTGCTGTGGGACAGTATTTCTGTGGAAGAGTCTGCACTAGCAGTGAGGTTCCCCTACTGAGAGTTTAGCTCAAATCACTGACAGCTAGGTGGAATCTCAAGCAGCCAACTCGCAGCGGTCACAGTGGCAGTAGAAGGTGATGGTACAGGGCCATTGGCAACAGAGCGATGGAGTGAACGGTGGCACAACAAACAACAGTAGCCAGAGCTAACAGTGAGCAGCTGAAGGAACAAGCAAGGTGCCTTCTTGGGAGGTGAACTCATGTGAAAGCACCTCTGAACTCTGAGTCTCCACTGACCAAGGACAACACCGGTGAGTGTTAATGAGGCTGTTAAGAATGCTGGAGACACAACACAGTTCATGCGAACAAACATGGCTGTGGCATCATACTTTCTATTTAGGCAAGAGATACCACATGCTACAAACTGGAGGCCAATGTTAAGTGCATTGTCACTTGTTCATCCTGAAGTTGAACACTGGTTCCAAACAAGACCAGCAAATGCTCACTATTTTTCTGCAAGAAACTCAACTGACTGGCTAGAAGCATGTGCTGCAACAGTGAAAGACTCAACAGTTGAAAAAGTGAAGAACACTCTTACCACGTGCAAAAAATTTGCATACATGGCTGATGAATGCACCGATGCAAATGGGCATCAAGTATTAAGTCATTGTGTATGTTACCTTGAGGTCAGTGGTAGGCCAGTACATGCATTTCTAGATGTTCAAGTTATAGAAGATACATCGGCTGAATCTGTGACAACCCACATCTTAGAAGAGTTAAATGCTTGTCAATTGGACTGGACCCCCAAACAGATGGCTGCTTGTGCATTTGATGGAGCTGCAAACTTCTCTGGAAGACATGGTGGAGTACAAGCTTTGCTCAGAGAAAAGTGTAACCCTAATCTTTCCTATACACACTGCAGAGGCCATCTACTCCAACTAGCACTAGTACGAGCTGCAGATTCTTCAAAAGACATTTAAAAAGCTATAAATTTAATGTCTTCATTATATTCTTTTTTCAGCAAGAGTCCAAAAAGACTGAATATCTTGGAAAATATAGAAGATACACTGGGACTGAAGTTCAAATTAGTCCAACCTGGTAAAACCCTCTGGCTTTCTCATGAGCGATCCTTGGCTGTTGTCTTAAAATTATTCCAGCCCATTATTACTGGCTTTGGAAAGTATCTACCAAGATGGGATGGATCTAATAGCGAGAATGGTGGATTACTTTTGCTACTACATTCAGACTGTATGTACTACATACATGCCATACTCTCTCTTGTAAGTCTACTGTTGAAACCACTTGGGTCATTAAACAATGCCATCCATTCTATTGCGGGACAAAGATCTACTACAACAGTAGTATTTCTTTGTCCAGCAATAGAAGCTACATTTGGATCAATCGAGAGCTATCCATTGAAAAAGTAGTGGAAGAAGCAAAGACTTCAGTCCAGAAGTTGACTAATGAAGGCATTTATATTGAATCCTTAAGTGAAGAGGACAAGAAGTGTTTGTTACGACAACTGAAAAAGTACACATACTTGCTTCTTAAAAATCTACAACAGCGACTTCTACATTCTACTCAACCTCTATGTAGCTTTTACAGATCATAGAATCATAGAATCATAGAATATCAGAGTTGGAAGGGACCTCAAGAGGTCATCTAGTCCAACCCCCTGCTCAAAGCAGGACCAATTCCCAGCTAAATCATCCCAGCCAGGGCTTTGTCAAGCCGGCCTTAAAAACCTCCAAGGAAGGAGACTCCACCACCTCCCTAGGTAACGCATTCCAGTGTTTCACCACCCTCCTAGTGAAATAGTTTTTCCTGATATCCAACCTGGACTTCCCCTACCGCAACTTGAGACCATTGCTCCTTGTTCTGTCATCTGCCACCACTGAGAACAGCCGAGCTCCATCCTCTTTGGAACCCACTGGCCAAGTTTACAAGGCAAACTAGGTTTGTATACCATATTACACAGACAACAAT